TCCTGTTTGTCTCTGTGTTGCCCTGCGATGGACTGGTGACCTGTCCAGGTTGTACCCCACCTCTCACCCATAGACATTAAATTTGATGTTTTTTTTCTGCAGTTGACACAGTTGATCATAAAGTATTGATACACGGTTTAAACGCTGGAAAAAATTGAAATCTAGATAAGTCATTTTTTTCTTAAAATAAGTGCAATTGTTCTTGGATTCAGGAGGTAAAATAGACATTTTGCGAATGGAACAAGACAATAAGAACAATAACATAAGACAACACAATTGTATTGTCTTACTTTAAGTGTATATTATATAATTATCTTATTTTAAGAGTAAAAAGACTCATTCCATTGACCAGCTATTTCATTTTACCTACTCAAATTAAGGGTAAATACACTTAATTTAAGAAATTTCTACTTAATTCTAGATCATTTTTCCAAACCTTCAGAGTTAATGGATTGTCTATCAAGTGTAAGACTTGGCTGATTGAAAACTGCCTTTTGTTAAATTCTGAAAAGACAGAAATTCTGATTGTTGCTCCAGAGGAAAACTGTTCAATTTGTTGTGAGTCATCTTAGTTTTCTGGGCCCCCCTGTTTAGAAATTTTGCTGTATAGATGGACCAGTCATTGTTCCTTGGAAGCCATTCAAGACTTTTGGTCACAAACTGCTTGTGATGCATGCTTTTATTTCCTCTCATTTAGGATATGGCAAATCTTTTTACTTGTTTTGACAAAATTATGCTTACTGCATTCAAATGATTCAAAATGCTGCAATGAAGTTTTTAACAGGGTCCAGGAGAAATAGACTTCACTCCTATTTTATCCTCCCTGTACTCCCCTTCAAATAGATTTAATAACTTTGTTTTTAATAGACTTTCAGACCATTACTTGGTGAAAATTATTTTTTCTTTTTTTTTTTTTCTTTTTTCTTTTTTTTTTTTTTACAAAATCTGATTTATTTGCCTTGAGAAGTACAAAAAACAGTATTATAGATAAAACTAATAACTATTAGATCTAGATTTCAGTAAAAAAAAAAAAAATAGCAAGATAGTAACTAGCAATATCTAAAAATACACTAAAACCATTTTCAGTCATGAAAAAAGTCTTCTATTTTATATACAATAGTTCATGTTCAATCAGAAGCCGGCATTTCAAATGGGAAAAAGTAATCTAACTGTTTTAGGTTTCTGTTCTCCTTTATGAATCTCACCCACTGTATTATAAGTCATGTATTTATTTAATGATTTAAAAATTTTGAGAATGATCAAGCATTTATCCGCGGTTCTACACTCCTACACAAAATGATGCAATCTGTAGTTCTTATCGAGTTTTCTCCAACTTAAGCATCTTAAGTATAAGTAATATTTTGCATCATGCCACAGTTACAATGGTAGTTTTATTGGGACAGCAATGGCGGTGACATCTTTTCAGTAAAAGTGCTTTACAATGGCTTGCAATTTTTCCGTGCAAAAGATGGCAAAGGTCTCATGTACATTTTTACACCAGCATGAAAAGTGATATTGAAACCTTATATGAATAGCTCCAGTGCAAGTCACCTGAATTGAGTCCATTTGCCTACAGTTTAAGCCTGTTTTGTGGCTTATATCTATAAAAAAATCATAGTTGTCATTATATGAGGTGCACAGTAGAAATTGATACAAAAATGTTTATGTTTAGCAGCTTAAACTATTAAGATATTGTTTTTTCTGTTTTAATAAAATCCATTTTATATGACGAGAAGGCCTGTTCCCTTACATAACTTTATGATTTCTGCTTAGATCTTTGTTGCTCTTCTAATGAACATATAGCTAAATAAATAAATAAATACATATTAGCAAAGGCAAATATTGAATTAGCAAAATGATTTGTCGGAAATTAAAAATATGCATAATTTGTATTTTTCGTATTCTATTTTTATTGAGTATAAATAAGGATTTGGTGTGACTTAATATCAACAGGCACCACAATTAAAGGTTTAGATGATTTATGTCCTTTCATGCAAAAAATTTTCATAAGTTTGAATTGAACTTTAATTAAAGATCCTTTGCTATAAAGAGTAAATTATTTATATATGTTTTGAATACAGAAAGTCTAACTAAGCATCCCTTTTCTCTTTTGGTTCTTTCTTCAATTTTATTTTCCTTTGACCTCCAGTGTTTTTCTCCTCATCTCTGTAGCATGGAGGAGAGCATACAGTTATCAGGCTCACCCAGCCCGGCCCGGCCCTCCTACCTGACCGCTGCCAGCAGGGAGCGGCTGCCCTCGCCTGAATATCTGCAACCACATCATCACCAATGGGATGGGGAAATTGACCCAGAGTTGGTTATTCAGACTCAGGGTGGGGGCACCCAGGCCTAGCTTGTGAATTTGTGGCAGTGAGTGAGTGTGTTTTTGTACTCAGAAGCCCGCCATTTCTGCAACATCCGATTATAAATCTATTGTGACACACAAACTGAATTTATGGGCCAACCTTCTTACAAAAGACGTGTTTGATTTGAAAAGGGAAAGGAGGATAGAATAAATAGCAATAGCAGTGAAAGTGAACTTCTGCTTGGCTTGAGCTCATTTAATTGAGAAACACCTGAATAACTGAAATGTGTAAAACACCACATTCTAGAGCATTAATACCCTTTAAACAACTTTCAAGTGTTTTTCTTTATGATTCTAACCCAAAGATGACATCTACACTAACAACATGAAGCACATCAAACAGGTATGATGTTAAAACTTTTCTGTTAATGGTAAACTCTGAACAAACTTCCCCAGTGCAGTACAGTAATTCTTATAATATGAGTTGATATTATTTTGTTTTTTTTTTGTCAATAAACCACACACACACACACTCACACAGAGGCAGCTGTCATCTCACACAGTGGAAGCAGGTGTTTATGAATCTCATGAGGTTTGGGGTCTTTTTTTTTTCATTGGGTATAGCAGAAGATGGTGAAATTCCCAATGTGAAAGTCTGCTTCTTGCTCTTTCCTCTTACTGCAACGCACACATACACAGTTAGAGAAACACACACTCACATAGACACCAAACCACATTCACTGACAGGAAATTTCAGAGCTATCAAATTAAGGCAAACCCAACCAACCTACACTACAGTGCCTTCTAAAACTTTTACACATTTTGGTTTATTTCAACCACAGATTTTTTATATATGATGCTAGACTTTTTTTTTTTTTAATCAGGACAAATACAGAAGAGCAAAATCTTTAAAACAAGGCAATAAGAAGTTGGATTGGCTAAAAGTAATTGGATTTTATTTGGTCTACAAGCAAAACATTGTGAGGTGGGGAACTACCAGCCTAAAAAACAAATACCTTATGGTAGGACCATTACACTATGTAGGTACTTTTTTGTCTAAATAGACAGGAAAGCTGGTCTGAGTCTATAGAATTAATAATTACTGTTTAGAAACTGCACCAAGGTTCAAACGTGTGTGTTTAAAAGATCATTTAATCTCATATGTGCTGAGGTGAAAATCCTGCTGCTGTAATTTTAGTTTATAAGTCTTATAGTTGTTTACTTGAATGAGACTTATAGGAATGAAAAAAGAGATGAACCCTATCTACTGAAGTGACTAAGGTCTTTTCAAGTACAGGGATAAAAGTGGTCTAAAAGAAACAGTTGGATAACCTCCCCAGGAAAGCCAGCTTTATTATATTATGTAGCTTCGACCAGTGCAGATGCTGGATGGAAGGAGATCTTTGACAAAAAAAAATAATTTGTAACGCTGTTATAGAGCTGGAGAGCTTCGTTAGTGATAAGATGTTGCATCCTAAGTGCACATAGGAGCGCTTTCATAGATCATTCCTTATTGCATCTTTAAGTTTTCAGTAATCAAACGATCCCGATACATTGACAGTCCTGTTAGTCAGATTTAAATATCCCTATGTGTATTCTAATGATAGTCTGCTTTTGCACAAATATACAAAAGCACATTTTAAACGACATCTGGATTATTTCAGTACACTTGCTCATCAAAATTGACATATTTTACCTTTCTTTGCATATTAAATGTGATATTGCTTGACAGACTTTGGAAAAGTTTATTGTTAATAAGACTTTTGCCTCATATTGTCTTCCTGCTTTGTGTTTACACTATCTCTACTGTCAGCTCTATTCAGATTAACAGATAAATAGGATCACATGTCAACAAGAATTATTATACCCATGATGAAACTATTTTTTTCTCATCCCCGTCTTAAATATGACCGCCCCCCTACAAATGTGTCCGTCTCGATGAATGTCATTTCTGTTTATGTGTCCCTCTGAGAGTTAAACTTGAGATAGGAATCTATATTTGAGGGCAAGTGTGGTGGTTCAGGGTGAGGTGAGGGTGCAGATGGCTGGAGGGGGCGCAGAGGGGAGGGGGTGTAAATATAGCTGCTGGACTGAGTCAGGGCCCCTTAGGTTGCTAGCCCTCACAGGAAAAGCATTCGCCTCAAGAGACTGAATATGGAGCTTATAGGTTTGAGCATGTGTTTTATAGCTTTTCATATTTCTTATGATCACCTTCCACGTGTTTAGCGACTCTATGCGATGGAGTTAAAAATACTAGACATTACCTTTTGCATACAAGCGGTGTCCCCTTATCCTTATTTTAAAAAAAAGTAGGCAACAATTGAGAAAATTTGCGTATTTTCTTCACTACCTGATAAACTGTCCAATCTTTTAGTGAGCAGCAGAAGGAAGGAGAGTTTTATGATAAGCACTACGCAGTTTTATGACAACAAACCTTTGTAGCGACATGGCCATATGACAGTAATAGGGGTGGAAAAAGTATTTGAATACTACAAAGCCAGCCAAAATTTGAATACTACAGATAGATTGCACTTTTAAAAACACCAGATAGGGCATTATTATTTTTTTTTTTTACAGAGAAATTACTTTAAACAATTATAAACTTCTACAGTATATAACTTAAACATGGAAATCTCATTGTTTTTATAATAGCATTTTAAATGTTTACTCAAATAATGCTCAAGGACAAAAAAGGTTTCATAAAAACAGCACACTTTATTTTCTTGGCAGTATACAAAAGTATAAAAACGTGAAAACTTGGCATGTATAAACGCTTTCATAAAAAAGGCCAAAGCTAGTATCAAAAAAAGGCGTAAGAGTATAAAAAAAAAAGCGTCTGTTAAGTGTTTGACAAGGGCTACTTAAATCTTTGTATGAAAACAAAATGCTGATGAAGTACACTTTACAAAAACATTACAAAATTATTAAAAAGTTTTATTTTTAACTGGTAGAAAAGTTTCTAGAGGGCTTTCTTTATGTAGTAGGATATAAAAAACATCAGTGTTAAATTCTTTTGTTTTACAAAAAGTCAAGAGCAGCTTGGTTTTTACTCTTACTCGGTGAAGCTCATTTCAGGTTTTGAAATGGATAGTGTAGTCACTCTTTGTCCCTTTCCATAAACATATTCATTTGTTCACACATTTGTCCCAATGTAAAGCCAGAAATGCATTTAAATTTGAAATGAAAACTTTTTTTTTTTTGTGAAATAAAGATCACATTATGCTAAACAGGTAATACTAAAGTTGGCCAGATTTGAACCATAATATAAGAACAAACGTAACAGTTCTTAAGCGTTATATGACCAAACACTTGAAATCCTTTGCAGACCCATGCACCTTTTAGAAAAGGTGAAATAGTTCCATGAGTTAAATTCAGAGGTCAGTTTGGAAATTCTTATCATGCCTTTGGATATATGATAATGCTAACAGGGCTTAAATACTTAAAATTACAACACTGTTCAATTGTTGGATTATTAAACAATTACAAAGTCATAATCCAGAACAAATATAAAAAAAACAAACAGGAACAAACAAACAAATAAATTAACTTGTTCTTTATATTAATATCAAAATTCAGAACCAATAATACAGCCCAACGCAAACATAGTCACCTTTTCCCATTTATAATACAACAGTGATTAAAAAAAAAAAGAGCTGACAAGAAAGAGGGGACAATAATAAAAAAACTCAAATCGTACTTAAAAAAAAATTATAATAATGTGTTTAGTCTTTGGTTGGTTGAATCCCAACAAGTTTGAGTGTAAAAACACCAGTGGCGTAGAAGCCTCTCCCAACTGTTGTACCACAACAAATATTAAAAAACCTGCAACGCTAAGTCCAGCGCAGGGAGTGTTGACGTTTCCAGATCAGCATTTTCTTTCCATTCCCCCCCGTTTGTGTTTGCTTTGTCCCGTTCTCCATTATCTACATCACCAGCGTCCTCGTAGGGTAAGTGTTGATGTACTTGTGGTTCTGCTCAGAGGCCAGAATGTGTTCCTCTGTCTTTCCGCAGGTTGCTGGTTCCCAAGAACAGAGCTGCTGCTGCTGAAAAAGGAAAAATATATACATTTAACATATAATATGCATTTAAACACACACGTTTTATTGTACATAATTATCTATAATGCAAGTGTACATGTGATCTGCACTGCACTGAAGTTAGAATGAATTGGTGTTCACAGACAGTCCTCTGTCTATTATGCTAAAGCTTCCAGTGTGATATGTGAGGAAGAGACAGATAAGAAAAATATATATACACACAACCTAATGCGTGAACAATAAAACACACGGGCATAATCGTTGCATAGAGGGAAGTAAAAAGGATGCATTACAGAGAAGCAAGGATTTTCTCCATCTAACCCAGACCAGTTTTGACAGATTGTGAGTTAAATAGCATCCTTTCATTTATTTATTAAATCTAGTGGTTCTATCTCAACTCAAAATGTCAACATTAACCCTTTATCTCCATTTTTTAAAAGCTTATAATGACCACATGCTGTCTATTGTTTGTTTATAGACTTGTGTACCATTGAGCATGCTTGCACTCAAAACTTTTTTTTAACATAAAAATATTGCTAGATTATGAAACCAAGTGTAATTTCATGTACGTACCTGTAGTGGGCTGTTCATGCCTCTGCGAGAGAGGTGGTAGGGTTTGTGTCCATCCTCACTTAGTAATGAGCTGGTAAGAATGTCCTGATTAAAGTAAAATAAAAAAAAAACAATTAGTTCAAAAACTTTTTTGAGTTCAGAAAAAAAACAAAACATCGAGTAATCAAAGTCGCAAGGATTGAGTTTCGCAAACTCACATGTGGACTTAAAGGGACTTCCTGTGCAGAGGCGTTGGGAGAGAAGAGCTGAGTGTTGAGGTCTTGACCCTCCCACTGCATACAGGGGCTCCGCTCGCACGGGGACTCCACCTTAAAGGCGACACATATCCATGTCATTCACCGCACATATTCATACAACCACAACTGGATGCAAGCAAAAAAAAAAAAAGTATGTCAAGAATGTTTGTAAATGAAAAAAAACAGACATCTACATTTAATTAAAAACTAAATTAAACTTAAAAAAAATCCTTTAGAATATAAACAACAATACCATGTGTTTCTTAAAGTTTGTTTTATTATTGTTGCCGTTGAAGGTATGTAGTTGATAATATGTGGAAATTACCTCTTGCTTAATTTTCTTTAGAGGAGGCTGGTCAATGGCGCACTCCATCGGCTCCTGCTTAATAGACTCAACCATCTGCTGCTCCAGAGTCGTGCTCTGAAATAAATTAAAATATATATTTTAGTTCAAAAACAGCTTATAACACATTTAGGACTCTGACACATCTTTTTTCTTTTATTTTTTTTTCCACCTGTAGTTTGAGAGATCCATGAAGGCCCAAAGTTGATCTGAAGGGAGTGGGTGTACGAGGGCTCGACTCGAGGATCGATCGACGGATGTTAGGAGTTCGAAATCTAAGAGGGAAGACGACAGTGTTGGTAAAGATACTCCTCAATAAATCTCCCTTCTCATATAAAAAACGTTGAGCTTACTTACAGTTCTGTCTCTTTGTGTGGCTTGATGGAGTGGTCGATAAGAGGCTTGGTGTCCACAGGCATGCTCATTCTTAGACTGTCATCAGAGTGTTCTGGACACATCGACTGGCTGAGAAACTGGGAAACAGACGAGAGGAAACAAGTTAATTAAGGTGGTTCAACATTTGTATTTCTGGATTGTAGAAATTTGAAATATCTAAAAAAGGGAGTTCAGGAAAGAAAAGAAAAAAAGACTGGTGCAACTACTTAGGTGAGCATTACTAGTTCTAAATGATTTGTTCTTGTGTTTTGAGAAGATAGGCTGGTGATTGGAAGGATTTGGATCACTTTCAGCTATTTTATCTACCTGCGAGGGAGAAAAGGGTAGATTTCTGACTTCTGAGGACTTTGGGGTTGAGCAGATGACCCTGCCTGTTTTTAATGCACTCCTTTCCAATGGCCTGGTAATGGCCTCACCCTCTAAAGGGAGGCTCTGGAAACAGGGCAGTAAAACTATACAGCTCATTTCAATCCTATGCTCTTTAAAAGGACACAGATCTATGTAGGAACAAGTTTCTTCACAGCAAAGCAGAAACTTACAGAATCGATGACAGATTCCATAAAATCTGGGACCGAGTTTAAGAATGTGGGGCTGCTGTGATGGCTGCTACTGGTGCTGCTGGATCGTGTTGAGGAGGCGCTTTCTTCAGGTAGGCAGCTCTGGTCGAGAGGTAGTGCCGGGGCGGCCGTGTGGAGGTGCGACAAATTCATCGTCGCATCATCTGAGCTGCTGATCACAGAGCTCTGGGTGGTCCAAGCCGGAAAGTTTAAATTCATCTGGAGAAGAAAAATACGATGATGATGAAATGGATGGACGTGGAGGAAATGGAACTGGTGTAAATGCTTAAACAAAAAAACAAAGAGAAGAAGAAAGGGAACTTTAACTCAAATAGCAACAGAAGTATTGAGCAGAAAAAAGTTGCACAAGGGGTCACACACACAGTAGAGAAATGGTGATAAGGCCCTGTTTCATCACTTCTGCAGAAACAGACCCCCCAGATGTTTCCTCCTCCGAATTCACATAAATACACACATCCGACCACCGTCCTCGAAGCCGGGGTCAGAAATACACTCGCATAAATCATGCTGTCACAATTTCACTCCCAGACAGACGTCTTTACTTACTGATAGTGATGGCTTGATTTTCAGCTCGTTCTCCGTCGCCATGAGCAGCCGTTCGATCTCTTTCACTTTCTGCTCTTTCTCAGGATCTTCGTCACCATAGTGTCTCTGGAAGAAGGACAGCATAAAAGGACATATTAGCAAATTGCTATAAACCCCCCTACTGTGGGACAAGAAGGGATTTCCATTGAGCACTTTCAATCATGAATGCCTCTCAGTTTGTTAATTCACACTGATGACCTATCTAAATGATAAATTGCTGTTTTTGCCTAAATACATGGATCTGACAGGTATGAAGAGCTGTAGTCATTTTATTGGTAGACATGCACAGCAGTAGGGTTATAATTTCAATTTATTTAGTCAGAAAAACGAGAAAAACCTGTTTACATGCTCTATATTGGATAATAAAGCCCAATTACAATATTTAAAAATATAGCATTGAATTTTACTGTAGTATAATTAAGACTATGTCAAACTGGATTTAATTGGATGGATTTTAAGTGATTTTGAGTTGAATTGCATTTATTTATAATCTCATACTAAGTGTAGAGGTTTGTCTTAGAGGATTTCTGAACTTTATTTAAGTAATTCCAAGTTTGTTTGTTTTTTCCCCACACAAAGCAAAGCTGCAATGGAACAATAAATCCATTGCATTTGGGGTGCTAATCATTCAGTAAGCGTAAATATGCATGAAAATTCCACTCTCATGTATTCTATTGAGAAGATCAATTATATCTTAATTTCCTCAGGTATGTCTAATGAAAGCGAGGACATTTAATGGAGATATAATGTGAGTGAGTTCAGGTTGTTGCTTTAAGCTGAATAACAAGAATGAATTTGTATCTTTGGTTATAAGCTGGTTAAAGTCCTTACTTGGATAGCAGCGGTCCCTGGCTGGGGAATGTTCAAGATGTTTAAATGCAAAGCCATTGGGAAGGGCAGCTGTGAAATCAAGAGAAAAAAACAATAAAATATTATAAAATGTTTTATTTCAGGACGTCATCCTTTTTTGCTATAAGGAGCTTAGATTTCGGTGTATAGGCCACTCACTCTGTGTGTTTCAGATATGTAGTTGTAGGTCACAGGAGGCAGCTGTGCATGGCTTGGTGAGTGTTGGGGATAGTTCATCACATGATTGGTCTTGATAAAGCCGTGGTTCATGGACAGCGAAGAGTTGCTGCTCTTCGACGTGTTCTGAAGGTAGCCCTCTTGTTCAACCTTTCGCCTCATGGTGGAGTTCCAGTGGTTTTTTATGGCGTTGTCAGTCCTGTGGGTTGCAATGCAAAAAATGCATTAAATAAGATAAATTATATTATAAAAAATAAAACAACACCCCCCCGCTCTGCGGAGACCGTAGTCCGAAAGCGGTGTTTGAAAACCTTTATCAACAGAGAAACATGTGGGCTGACACAGATAAAGAAAGTCTCAGTCAAACAAACAAACAAACCCATGCATGTTGTTGATAAGGTTATCACAACAAAGCGATTATAATAATCTTAGAGCTGTCTCTCTATTGATATTCTACTCTACACATTTTGCATCAAAAACCAACCTGCCCAACACTTAATGTCTGATTCTCTTTTGCTTTCCCTGCTTCATATTCTCTATTCTGGCCTCCTAACCACAGCATTGCGCAGCGAACCAGCAAAGGCTCCGTGATTCATCCAGCTTCTCTTTTTCCTCCTACCCCCCCAAAGCCTTCTCCATTCTCTGCCTCACCTGCCAGGAAGCAGCTTGGCGATTTCTGCCCAGCGGTTTCCCAGCTTCTCATGTGCCTGGTAGATGATCCGGTCCTCCTCCTCGGTCCATGAAGTCTTCTTGACCTCTGGGTTCAGGTGGTTGTGCCAGCGCTCACGGCACTGCTTGCCGATGCGTCCCTTCAGGTGCTTTGCAATCACTGACCAGCGTTTGGCCCCGTACTTCTGGACCAGCTCGATCACCTGCCAAGTTGGTGATTGAGAGAGAGAGCGAGGAGAAAAAAAGTACAGGACAGAAACAGGAGGAGGAACAATGTGAAAAGGAAGTCAAAAGCAGAGGGCATGGCGAAAGGAGAAGGATGGGGTAATCAAAGGGAACAAGGGAGAAGTAAAGGTGTATAAAGATATGATGGACAAAGAAAGAAAACACACACAAAAAAAGAGAAATTAACTCTTTAGAATGTGCACATAATTTATTTTTTTATTATTTAACTAACGGAGGTGACTGCTAACACCTGCTAATGAGCAGTGAGGGATTTTCCAGTGGAACTTTGGCCGCTCTGCTAATCATTACAGCGGCAGCATGTGTTTGGAAGTACAACTACTTTGAATTAGCTCCATGCATATACTCCACTGACTGAGATTAACCAAGTTATATTTTGTGTAATAACACCTGCAAAGTGTGCAACAGCAGATGCCTAAATTGCTACAGAGAGGTTGCTTTAATCACTCAGGAAAATAAAGTAATTGTTTTTGATTCTTACAGCCCGTTTCCTGTGAGTAAAAACTGTTACTTCAAATAGATTCCAGGCCATGTTAAAGGTCATCATTTAGAAAACAAATACCTTTATGCCAAGTAATGCACATAAAATGCTGTATTTTCTTACCCTCTGGTCCTCTTCTTTGGTCCAGGGCCCTTTAATTAGTTCTGGGTTGAGAACCTTCTGCCACCGGTGCTGGCACTGCACATCTGTACGATTCTAGGAGTTTCAAGAGAAATATGTTTTAGTCACAAACAGAGGTAACCTGCCTATATAGACCAAGTCAGATAATGTATTAAAGATAAATAATGAAATAATTTTAGGAATTGTTTTGCTACAAATATGTTTTGTGGTCCAGGTCAATCAACTGTTAACACAATATGGTTTAAAGCTCTTTTTAAACAGACAAATAGGGAAAGGGGAGCATAAATGGATTTTTCTTGTTTGGATGAGCAGAGCATTAACAAAGTGGATTTAAAACAAGACATGATGGTTGTTCTTTGTTAAAAGACGTACTCCACAAATATTTAAAAATAAAAAAAAACACAGCCAGACATGATGAGAAGACTAAAGGAGCACCACCCTCAATTCTATTAAGATCATGATGTTTGACTATGACTGGGAAACAATGGGCTTTATGTGCTGCTCTATATCCACTTCAAATCTGTCACTCCTCTCAAAGTTTTGTCAACATCTCTGCTTAAGCCTGTGCACCCGAGTTAGAGCAATATGAATAATTAATGCTACTCTGGTTCTATTTTAAAGGGAAGTAATTTTTTATTTTTTTTTTGCATTATTACTATGAAACAGATATTTCTACTCAAGGTTCTTAATTAGATTTTTATTTTCTTTCAATACATTACCAGCATTTCCCCCACGCCCCAATGTATTACTTACAGTTAAAAGACTTGCAATTAGTTTCCAATCTTCTGATCCATGAAGTTCGACCAGTTTTTTCAGCTTTTCATCCTGAATAAAAGAAAATATATATATGAAATTCCATGTAATAAGGCAATAATTAGTGGAAGTGATTGAATGGTGCTCTGAAGATATGGACTTTTACGGCATACCTCCTCTCGAGTCCAGCGAGTTTTTCCAAGGTGACGTTTCCCTACTTTGGCAAGAGTCCCATCATAGTCATGTTCGTACATATCTGTCTCTTCCTCATCTTCCTCGCTACTGTAAACACTGTGAACACAAACACAGAAATGTTATTTTTTTTTTTATTTAGTGTGAAAACCATTGCTGTAAGATGGAAAGAGTGAAAGAACAAACAAAGTTTTTGTCAATTATCTGCTTGGAAAGTTAAATTGAACCAAAGAAATAAATAAAAAAGAAAATAAGGCTGCCTGTACTCATCAGGTGAAAAAAAAAAAACTGAGAACCAGTCATTCTTGAAGGTTTGGGTGCAGGCTTTGGGCCAAGACGCTCACCGGCAAAGAAAAAAAAAAAAAGATAGAGGGAAGAACAGCAAGTTGAAGGGAGGGAGGGAGAAGGATGAACAGGTTCCAGTGTTTTTGGTTTCCACAGATACTGGGATTGGCACATGTGATCATCATTTTGTGACCTCGGCATGTTCAGACCTGCAGTGGCAGTGTACATCACAGGCTTGCACGCATACACATACACAGATTCACATACACACACAAGGAACCGGTTAACCAATCAGATTGTTAAACAATGTTAACGTGGAAGTCAGGGGTGCTTGGAAGAGAGCAACAGGTGAACAGACATCCCACAGTGTGTGTGTGTGGTGTGCATGTGTGTATCCTTGAGGTATTTATTGTGCATTATCTTCCTTGTTCCACTTTTTTTTTTAAGTAAAATGTGTGACAGCATAACGAATGGTATTAATATTGGTGAGCAGTATACAACTTTAAACCCAAAGAATAACGTTTTATGACCTTATTTTATTTAAAAGTAAATTTATAATACAAAAATGCAAGCTGATAATAACAAAAAAAATGTGTATAAGAAAATAGTATTATGCAACCTATTCTGGTAAGACCAGTTTTAAAATGCCCAATAAAAAAAAAAACGTTAAATAAACAGAAAAATCTAATCAATAAATCAGCTTTATGTAGGTTCATTGATTAGGTAGATAGGAAAACAGCATAATAATAATAAATATGGTAAATTCTAAGTTCAGGGTCTGAAAATGTGCTATTCAAAGGGGGAAAAAGTAGCGCAAGTAAGTGAAGAGGAGGCACTGAAAGCGCACTTTCCAAAATACCAGGCTGCGCTCCTCGCTTTCAGGGATGCAAACTTAATCCAGCCTTGTTTAGAAATTCCCCCTCTTAAATAAATACCCCTCTGCTCTACAGAATAAATTACAGAAAAACGAAAGTAACCGGCAGGGTAAAGCCGCTGGGCATCGGTCAGTAGACCTTAAGGCGCTTAAAAAAATAACAATGTAAAACTTTTCCAAAGAGCTTTTTTTCCCTTCTTATATTAAAAATACACTGCTTGAATAAAGTTTAGCTACAGGTGAGCGTTCAGCTTCAGCTGCACCGGTGTTAACGCGCGCGCGTGTCACTGACAGCAGTGAGGAGCGCACATGCCAGATGACCACCACCTGTCATTGGCGCGAGCGCCACAAGCTCACCATCAATAAATGCCAAGAAAACACAGCGGCTCGCGCACACAAACCCCACCACACACACAAAACACTCAATTAGCTGATTAAAAAAAACATACATATGCGTCCTGTTGAAAATGATGCAGCTTTAAACGCTCAGGTTTCTCACATATATAATAACAATAAATGAAAGAAAACCAAAAATTGGCATTAAAACAAGAGAAAACTGCATTAAATTAAAAGTCTGGTGAACAATATTGGCCTTTTTACCTGTTTTTCGGCCGCCGAGTCATTGTAAGGTATAGCCAGCGGCTTGCAGCAGGTTGCGCCCAGCGTGTACTTTCGCTATCCGCGCCGTGTTTGTTCTCCCCGTGAGCAGGCAGGCTGACATTAATTTAAACTACTGCTACACGCGTGGGGCTCCTCCCCTCAGCTTCCCGGTTCATTTCGCGCTCCGAGGCTTGGCGCTCCGCTGCGCATGTCTGCTAAACTGTATAGTTCAATTGAAGTCCGACTATTTTCTGAAAGACTTTAGAAAACATGACGGTTATATATATTATATATTTTTTGTACTAAATTTGTATAGTATATTAGCAAATAAATAATTTCACAAACATATATTGTGTTTTACCTTTTAGTGCTACAGTATGAAATAATACTTTTTCTGATTTACAAAGTGTTCCTGAAGTGCTCACCCTTTACTACACTACAGCCTGGTCTGGCGCTCTTCTCCTTATCATCCGCGCTAGATTATTATTATTTTTTCCTTGTATTTACTTGCTTCTTTTTTTTTTTCTTTAAAAAAAAGAATGAAATTGATGTTAGGACCAATAAGAATATGTTTGCACTCAAGGAAAATTAAGTTCGAGTACTTCCAGCTTTGTGACACCTGTTCGGCGGAGTGCCCCCGCTGTTGCAGATGTTTTCCTGTGATAAAACTCGCAACAAAACCTTGTCTTATCATCCCGCGACAAAACGCGCCTACACAAACAAAGTTAAAGGAATCCAGTAGCACTAAAACTATGTGTGGAAATTTATTGCTCGTGTAATTCATTGCTTTAGAGCCTTTATCTTCTCTGAGTTGTTCCTAAGTTTCCTTTTGAGTTCTTTCTCAAATAATGCAAATGACCCACATCTCAATATGGAGCAAGTAGAACCTGTTTTTCTGCAGCTTTCTCTGGAGGATAACTTGGAAAAAAAATATCTTGCACAACTTGTATTTTTTTTCCTCGTCTTCTTTTTCCCGCAACTCCAGGATCGTTTTGTGTTCTGATTATATTTGTTTTGTGTTTCAATTCTGCATTCTCCATGTTATCCCTAGTGCAGAAAGGAGGGGGCTTAATGCTTTATCTTTATAAATGTGTCTTCTCATTGTATTAGTTCCTCCATACGCGACCATATTGTCCTAGTCACTTGTAATTACCATCACCCCAGAACAGCCTATTGTCCAAGGATAGTCTATTATAATAGAGGGCTGACAATAGGGTACACTCATGCATTTGTACAAGTTACTCTGGATAAAAGTTCAGCTTTCATGTGCAACATACACTATACTTATAATCCAAGTGATCAAATTATAAAACAATATTTTAACCTAAAAAAAAAAACTTGTTTACAAATCCTGGCATTGTACATTTGTTTCTGCAGGAAGGCTTGAGTCACCTTTTGTTTTGTTTTTCTAGCGATAATCAGCAAAGATTCATGATGTAATGCATCCCCATTGGCTGGATGCAATCACTTCTAGGCTTTAATTTCTATACACACTTGTGTGCTTATGCATAACCACCTGTGCCTTGAGGATGTGGTATCTCTGTTCCATTCAAATCCCTAATTGGCAGCTATGTGGGATCATAATAAGAACTTCTCTGTTTATAAAATAAAGTTTAGCTCTTAACACAAGCAAGCTGAAAAGTTGAATCCAAATGTACTTCTACTTTTATGGATTCAAAAATCCATGGATATAATTCAGGCAAGCTCTAATATTAATAAAATACTACTTTTCCCTCGAGGGTAATATTTTCAAACTGCACCTTGTTATCTGAAACCAAATTGAGAGAAGGGAACCAGGCTATGCAAATCTTCCTATAGTAGGTCAAACAGGAAGCCCTGGGACCCATTGACTTTTCAGCCTGGGGCATTTGCATGGGCGCGATTGGACAGGTTGATGGCAGACATTGTGATGGGCCGACCACTTTGCAAAGCCTTGTGTACACAGGTTGGCTCATTTGAATGATTTTAATGACAGCTCCTGGGCCCTGAAGGTATCATCCCATATAGCTTTCAAAAACAGCAGGAACAGCAAAAACATGTGTATTGTAAGTTACTGTATGTGTATGCTGCCTCATGTATGTGAAGCTGAGCACCAAGAAAATGCTGAATCCAAATCGCACAGCTGGTTAATTCAATTATGTATTCGTGTTGCTAAAAAGATAAAGTAGCTGCCAAATTACTTAAAAAGAATCCAATAACATAGATTAGATTAGTGCTCAAAACTTTCAATAATCTATTAGATTTTTTAATTGGTCAGTAAATAATTTATTCCAAACACATATACTAAAATTATAGATCTAATTAATTGCAGTGCCTTCCAAAAGCTTCAATGAACCCCTTATTACAATATTATAACAAACAGTTGTAATTGTATTGGTTTTTTATTTTTTTTGACAGAGCAGCATAATGTAAGCTACGAACATAGAAGGCAAACAAAACAAAAAGTTTTATTGAAAAACTCTGAAAAGTGTGGTGTGCATTTTCTTTATATTTCTATCCAAGGTAAAGAAGCGACCAGTCTCTAATGAAGATGGGCCTCCCCATAGCATGACTTTGCCTCCACTATGTTTTACTCAGAAGATGGATATGTTCAGGAAAATGATATTTTCTAGCATTCTGCAAAAAAGTTGACTCACCTTTCTTCATGTGTTTGCTGTGTCCTGTACATGGTCTTATGCAAAACTGCAAATAATACTTCTTATGATCTATTCTTACGGGTCTCTCAGATCTGACCTGTGAAATCCATGACTAGGAAATGTTCTTCCAACAGATGATCCCAACTGAGCTTCCCAAAAGTCACTATGGCTTCTTTTCTTATTATTACTCTACTACCCTGATCTGTTGGGCAGCTTTTTCTTGGCAGTGCTACAGTTGTGTCATATCTATTTCCATTTTTCAAAAACCAATTAGATAGAGCACATCTTTATTTACAAATCTTCAAGTATTGTTTTGTAACTAACCCTGTTTTTCATTTCTTAGCAATTTGATTCCTTACCTACAGTACCTGGTAAAGTCTACAAAGAAAAGCTTTTGTTTTTTAATGCTGAAAATCAGAAATTATTTCCCTACAGATATGAAAAAATAGTCCATGACATAAATCCTTCTACAATAAATTAAAGTTAGTTGTAGTAACGCAACAAAATTTAAAAAGAAGGATAAGCATGGCATTTGTGATCTTTTTATTTTATTGACTTTAGCTCTTACAAGCTGACTACCAGTGGTGCATGTTTTGCATGTTCCTTGGGGTGAGTTCCTGTCCAAGACTTACCATAATGCCTGCTGGCTCTGGCAAATTATGTAAAACATTATCTCATATCCAGTGCCAGCTCTTTAGATAGACTTAACCCCTAAGCCACCGCCTGCACAGTAGCTTTGTCCACAGCTAGTTCAACAGCACTAATGCGTGTCCAAATTTACATGTTGTTGTTAATGGATTTGCCTTCTTCTGCTTTCACTAAATTTTGTTAATAATATCCCTACCCCTAAAAAAATGACCAGAAAACAAAATGCTAGGATTACAGCATTAGCAGCCAGTTTAGAAAAAATATAAACTCTTAAACAATGCACTAGTATATTCCACTGATCCCCTCATTCTTTTAGCAACCTGTTGTTCCATCTGTTTACTAATCCAGTTCATCATTGCATCATTACTTCTCACAGTAATCTATCTTCTCCTACCACTGATTCATTGATACGGGTTTCCCGCAACTATGTGGCTACCTCTGCAGCACAGATTTGACCAGATAGAGTTAACACTGTTCAAAGGGAAACAAATGTTCAGATGCACGCCGGTGTGAAAAATCACACCTCTGCCTCCTTGCAGCACAGGGCTTACAAAATCATAGCCTGTTTTCATCAATGTACCTCGAGACTCAGGGGTGGGGGGTGGAGGGTGGTGCGTAGTCATAGAAATCACATGGGTTCATGCATAATTCTCTTTTTTAAGGTTGTGTTTACTGTTTTTATGCTTATTACCACAATTATAGATATAGATTAAAGCTACAAACAACTTCTTTTATGTCTTTCCTCTGAGGAAAGATGTTCCATATCCTATCAGGTTTTCTGTCACACATTTGGTGTTTTAAAGTGCCCCAGAAACATTTTGCTTATGCACAAAGAAGAGTTCCCTCCTGTCACCTGTGTGACCCTGTAAAACACGCAAGACTTTATTATTTGTACGCATGTGCTCCATATGTGCAAGAGCAGTTGTTTTTTTTCACATGTAGATGTGCAACTTCAAAAGCACAGGAAGTGGAATTTTGAGAGGGGAAACCTCCACCCACCCAGAGGGTACACATGCACGCGCACATGTTCGCTAACCAAAGGTGAACTGTGCATAACAAATAGTAAACATCTCTGCCAACAGCTTCTGTTTATATGGAGGACACCCCCCCATAATATTTGGATCTTGATGACCTCAGTCAATTAAATAGGCCCTTTGTAAAGCTTGAAATATAAGCCATACATTGCAAAGTTATTTGCGATTACCTAAGTAAAAGCTTCTTTATTTTATCTGTGCTCTATTTTTAGTTTAGGGAGACACGCCAAGCCTCATATTACATGACATGGTGCGGATGGAGTGTATCTCACCTGCAGCGCTGATCGTATCATGTTATTCTCTGACTTTTTACTCATCTTCTGATTTATCCCCACATATGAGCTAATGTAGGTGAATACAATGCAATTTCTCCAATTACAAAGCCACCTGTTAAATGAATTGTGGCTGTAACTTACAGGTTGTAGAATATGGTGAAAAAAGCAAAACAAAATGCATTACAGACATCTAAAAATATCAACCCATGGTAAGCTGACCATAAAATGATGTAATTTATGGTTCTTGTGATGTAAAGATATTTATGAAAAATTATGTCACTCTGGGTTGTTTGTTGTAGAAAGCTCTCAAGGGTTGGTCCCTTACCAGAGGGCATAACCTTTGACAAAATGGTTGAGACATTCAAACCCCAAAATCGTAGTGGCTCAAAAGAGTGTTGCATGCAGGTGGTGTTTCTCAACTTGTTTCTGCACTCTGCTCATGACCTCTTGAACTGACAGCATTTCTAGTGCCCTGCAAAAATACTCTTCCAGATTGCAGTTTCTCGCATTTTATGGTGTTACAATATTATTTTCAATGTATTTTATTTTCAATGTATTTTATTAG